TATATACATAAATACGTACATACTAACATATATAAATATGCATGTTATGTGTGTACACATGTATGAATATAACTCTAAAAAATAATTCATTCCATAATCTATGCTTATGTATGTAATCAATTTTATTTGTTGTTTTAAATGCTGCCCTAATATAATACTTCACATATATATATGCATATTTTTTTATAATCTGGATTTTGATGTAAATTGAAAGAGCACGCGGTTTCTAATATACTTCTTTATTATATTACAAATTATATTCTAGTGATGATACAATGGTTATCGATATTCAAAGATGAGTATTTTATAAATGTTAGTGATCGAACTGCTGCAAATCCTAAGGCTGATAGTACATCTAGGTTGAAGTTATAACAGTTCTCCCCCGCTAATGAGAGTTATGTTAAGTCATAATCGCGGAGATGTGCAGGTTTATTGCGTATTCGTGCAGGTCTTTGACTCGACTGTTCCGGAGTTTGAGCAGTTGACGATTGGGTTGGCTGCTCTGGAGTTCGAGGTAATGTTCCTGTATGTCTTTCAGATTCTGTATCGTTCGATTCGGAATTAGATTGAGATCCAGTTTCGACTTGTTGAAAATTGTACTGGCTATTCCTATGATTTTGTTGGTCTGCTGGGTCGGAAATCGTATTTGAAGTACTTCCCCGGGTATTACCTATGTCAGGAACATCTTGAGCGAACCGGACTTTCCGCTGTTGAACTTTTGTGACCTTTAGTTGATCTATATGGCGTTTTAAGGTGTAGCCATCATCTAGTTTAATAATGTAGTGAAGTTGACCTAGCTTTCGTTGTACAGTACCTGTTTTCCAAATTGTTTTGCTGTTTTGTGTATATAACGCTTGTACTCTCTCTCCCTCGCTAATATGGCGCACACCTGGTATAGAATCCGTTACTTTATTATGTGTTATTGGTTTTAGCGCGTCTAATCGAATCCGTATACGTCTTTTTAGGTAAAGTTCTGCTGGGCTCATACCATTACTAAGAGGAGTTGCTCGGTATATTTGTAAAATGTCATTGACTTTTTGGCGTAGTGGTCCTGGTTCTGTTGACATAGCTTTTAACTTCCTTTTAAGTGTTTGAACATTTCGCTCGGCAAGACCATTCGTACTCGGGTGCCCTGGTGCTATGAGCTTCTGGCGATTATCGGTGACAAGCTGGAATTTTCTTCCATAGACATACATAAAAAAATGATTTATACTGAATATTATTGCTAATGCCTCGCGATCTAGTTGGCTATAGTTCCTTTCTGCTGCAGTCAGTGATCTGGAAGCGAAGGCAACGGGATGTTCAATGCCGTTTATTGTATGGGAGAGCACCCCTGCTATACCTGTTGGGCTAGCATCGCAAGCAATGACTACTGGAAGTTCCGGATTAAAAGGTCTGAGTACCTGATCGCTACTAATTATGCTTTTGAGTTTGATGAAAGCGGCTTCGCAATTGGAAGACCACTGAAACTGTTTTCCTTTCTGGAGTAGTTGACGTAGTGGGTAAGTTATGGACGATAGGTTTGGAATAAATCTCGAATAATATGTTACCATGCCTAGAAATCTTCTGACATCATCGACTGTTTTTGGACGAGCCATGTTTACAATTGTTTCGACTTTAGACGGTGACTTTGAAATTTGGTTAAATTGTACGACATGCCCTAGGTATTCTACGCGAGTTTTCAGAAACGAGCATTTGCTTTTATTCAAGTGTAAGTCATATTTCTTTAAGCGTTTAAGACATTCGACTAGATTTTGTTTACATTCAGCTTCTGTAGACCCGTGTACCAAAATATCATCGAAGTAGGACATGGTTTTGTTTAAACCCGATAAAAGTTGCTCTATTATACGATTGAATTCTGACGGTGCTGTTTTTATGCCGAATGAGAGTCTATTCATCCTATATGTTCCCTTATGGGTCGAGATTGTTTGAATTTCACTGGATTCTGGATTTACCCTTATGTGTAAATATGCCTTATAGAGATCGAGACGACAAAAATATTTTGACCCTTTTAGGCTATTCAAAATTTCATCGATTCTGCGTATTGGGTAATTAGCTGCTACTAGTTGTGGATTAACCCCTGGTTTATAGTCGACGCATAGTCTAACTTTTCCATCTGGCTTCGGGACAATTACTAGTGGAGAACCCCAGTCGCTCCTTTCACATTTTGAAATAATGCCGGAAGCTTCTAATTCTTCTAATTCTTTTTCGACGGAGTCTCTCAATGCGTACGGAACTTCACGCTCCTTATAAAAAACTGGCTTAGAACCTTTTCGCAGCTGCAATGTGATTTCAATTTCAGGGACACATCCTACTCTTTCTTCAAAAACTTCGGGAAACTCATTAATAATATCAGATATTGAATTATGATTTTGTGCATTGACTTTATTTATGTTGTGTACGCGATGCTTATCGACTTGCTGAAGATTGATGTTTAGGTGTCGAATCCAAACTCGGCCTAACAGTGCATCATATTCATCAGGGACAACATACATTTCTTCGTCGGATATACTATTATTGAATTTTACCCTTACCTTGACTTTGCCATCGGGAACAATGATATTCTTCGTATATGAACGGAAAGCAACACTTGAAGGTTGTAGTTGCTCGTTTATCTGGAGTTGATTGAATTGGTTCCTTGGTATAAGGGTAAACCCGACGCCTGAATCGACCTCGAATTGTTGTTTTCGCCCATTTAATTCAACAGTGACATAATACTTATCAACATCACTGTAACTATGTTGATTCGAAAAAATATCTATAATGCGATTAATGCCATATATTTGATGAATTGATTCCTCGGTATCCTCTGATTTGACATTTGCGTTCTTTGTAGACTTCATTAATGTAGTGATGCATACTTGCTGTACATGGCCTCTTTTACCACAGGAGTTACATTTTAGGTTTTTTGCGTTGGTACGGCACTGCTTCGTTTTGTGGTTGTCTCGTCCACACCGTATACATAAATTATCTATACCAAGCTCTTTGTAATTTACCTTTGATTTTGCTCGTGCCTGCGGTTTTGAATGGCGGCTGGAAGAATGGCTTCTTCCACGATTCTGCTTTCTGCTTACAATTTTATTTACGTCACTAGTGCTATGCTTCGCGTTAATTTCCCGGCTATCTATTTTTGATGCTTCTAGCGATAAAGACTTTTGTACAATTTTATCAAAGTCAGTTTCTTCTGATTGAAGTATTTGCTCCCGTATTGTATTGTCAAATATACCTCGAATAAACTGTGCTCGTAGAAAAATGTTTGAAATATCGGCCTTACAATTGCACGACGACAGAAAATTGCATTCATTAATATCGCGCTTCAATAACGCTACGTATTCCGCAATTGTTTGGCCTTCATTTTGATAAGTTGACAAGAACCTATGTTGACTTACTAGAATGTTCCTTTTCGGGCAAAGATGTGCTTCTAATTTTTCAATTATGTCTTTGTATTCGACTTCATTAAGTGACTTCGGGGCAATTAGCGACACAATCAATTTGAAATGTACAGAGCCAATTGAATTAATTAACATTTGATGGCATAGTACTTTGTTTGTAAAAACACCTTTCATTGTTAAGTAATTCTCGAACCTTTGCCGGTATAACCTAAAATTTTCTTTTGTAGCATCGAAGTGTTCAAAAGGCGGTAAGAGCATTTGGAATGGCTGACTGCCTTGTTGTTGTTGCTGATTGTTCGTATTTGTGCTTATTAGACGCAATAAATTTTGTTGCGCTTTGTTGAATGCTTCTAGCATTTGTGAAAATTGAGTAGCATCCATTTTTGCTATTTTTCCCTTGTTTTACTCGTCGCCACTTTTTTATAATCTGGATTTTGATGTAAATTGAAAGAGCACGCGGTTTCTAATATACTTCTTTATTATATTACAAATTATATTCTAGTGATGATACAATGGTTATCGATATTCAAAGATGAGTATTTTATAAATGTTAGTGATCGAACTGCTGCAAATCCTAAGGCTGATAGTACATCTAGGTTGAAGTTATAACACATATGTACATACAATTATTAACATACTTTCGTACATAATCTATTGACATACATTCCCACATTTCTATGCACAAAAATGCATGTGTTGTATAGTACGCTCGGAGCGCTCGCTCGTCGCTCACTCGTCTTTCCTAGCAGAGTGAGTATGCAGACAGCTACTCGCCTCGCACTGCGAGCGAGGAAACACCCAACAGCCTCGCTCATTTAATAGGAGCGCGAGCAAACAAGCAGCGCTCGCTCGTTTGGCGAGCGAGCCAAACTTCTCGTGCCTCGCCTCATTGCTGCTACGAGTACGAGCTGCGTGCGCCTCGTTGTCTGCGAGGCATTGAGTAGGAGTTTTCTCACTCGCTCGCTCGAACTCCGAGTTTTTGCCCACCCTGAGTGATAGCTGTTTAGCACAAATACGTTTATGGGTGCATGTATGTGGTATAGCGCAGTCACGTCGCTCATACACATCTCTTTTGCCTTTGTGAGCTCGTGTTTGATCGGCACTGATGTACAGATTTTTCGCGTAGCTATGCGCTGTCTTTGTAATTTTTTGTAACTTTACACCCAAAAAAAGCGTGCTTATCTTCCAAGAATAAAAAATATAAGTATGCCACTCTGCGTCTTTTTACAAATGCTTCGTTTTAAATAAATATATATTAAAATCGGTTTAGTACTTTGAGAAATAAGTCGTTACAAACGTACTCCATATAATCAATTTTATATAATAGTATAGATGGGGCATATGCATAGTTAAAATAAAGCCGACACTAAAGTTAGTTACAGCATTTTCACATCACTTTCAGTGGACTAGGCATCTGTGAAAAAAAAGATGCAACTAACTTTCTTCTTATTTGGGACTGACAAACTTAAACTTAGAGTAGACTTTATTTCATATACGAATATGCCCCAATAGTTTTGGAGCCAAATTAAAATGCATTTCCCCATGCATACGTATGTACATACGTACTCCATTAACTGATAACGTTTTTACATGCATACATATTTATGTATGTATGTGCATATTACTGCCAAAATACTACGCACATACACACAAATGTACATATTTACAACTCATTGCACCAAATTACACGCATACTCAAATACAACAATAACTATTTCTTTCATAATCGCATGCACCTATTTCCCAAGGCCAAGTAAATTCATTCATAAAAATAACCGCAGCACATCACCCCGCAAATTCATCACCATCAAGCTCAACTTTTTCAATCCGACACAAAAATTCTAAAATCTTAAAATGAAGAAATCTCGGCCAGCCAAGTGAAAAGTGGCAATTCTCTATATCCAGTAAAATAAGTTATCTCGAATTTTGGAAATTTTTGGTAATTTTTGGCAAAACACTATTTCTATGTTACATATCAATATTTCAATCATTAACTAGTTTTTGAGATGTAATTTTAATAAACATTAAATAAAAGTGTACGTTTTCCGCAGGAAAATACATTATTTTTTTAAATAAAATCAAAACTTCTAAAATCGCAAAAATATGTGGTTTTATCGGAAGTTCACAGATGTAACGTGGCAACTTAGCTCGTTTTCATATTTTTCGGTCCGAAATTGTAAAATTTTTGTCCATGCCGCGCCACAATTTTTGTACAGGTGGGTCAATGTGCCTTGAACAAAATTTGTATATATACAAAAAAATTATTTTATTTATTTTTTAATATTAAAATTTTCTATACTTCAAAGCGTTTATAAAACAAGTAAGAAAGTCTAAGTTCGGGCGGAGCCGAACAT